TCTGGGAACTCATGGTGAAAAAGAAACCAGAATCGTTTGAGCCCGACGACCTTTACGACTATGCAGAGATCCTGAAAAGTTCCAGTGCCATGTATCAAGGCAATTCCACCCTCTCGAGAACCCCGAAGGCGAATAAGAGTTACAAGTGGAAGGAAATCGTATCCCACATCTACAAGAAGGATAAGTTTGGCAGTGGGCTGCAAACCGTGTTTCTTCCTTCCAACTTCAAGCAGCTTCTCGGTCGCTTGGAACTGTGTGCTGCAGCATACCGAGCAGGAAACAATGGTGTGCGCAACGAAATTGTGTCGATTATCGATGCTATGAAAAGGGGTAGACATATCAGCATCGAGGAATATAAGGCACTGCATCGTAGCATCCTATAAATAAATGTTGCAAATCAAGAAAGGTTACGCTCGAAAGTACGCCTACGGTGGTAAAGGACTGTTTGACACAATCGCCAGTTTGGCTGGACGCATGTTTACTTCCTCTGCCGCCCAAACCCTAGGAAGTAAGGCCATGAACGCTGCCACCAATGCAGCCTTGAAAGGTGTTGAAAAAGGGGCTTCCAAAGCCGTCGACCATGTGGTTGATAAAGTGACCCGCCCCAGGAAACGTATTAAAACCCCTCAACAGCCTAGTGTTCAACGCAAGAAGCCAGAGCAAGTTCGGTTAAACAATCTAATCTCCGGCTCTGGTATCAAAACCATCCACGACTTCGTCCAACGCTATAAATAAATACATTATGTCTAACATCCTTACAATCACCGAAGGGTTGACCTTCGACGAAAGTCTCCAGGAATATCAGGTTCGAGAATACGAACCACAAGCCGGTGCCCAGCTGAACAATCCCGGTGCTGAAATCCGAATCAACATCGAAACCCAGGATTTGTTCCTACACCCCGCCGAAAGTTATCTCGTGGTAGAAGGTCGACTTCTCAAGAATGATGATACAGCATATGCCGATGGCGATCTTGTGTCGCTCACCCATAATGGTATCATGTATCTCTTCAAGAGCATCAGTTACAGGCTTTCCGGTCAGCAGATCGAACATATTAACGACCCCGGCATTGCCACCACTATGCTGGGAATGTTAACCTACCCCGACGACTTCTCCAAATCGCAAGGTCTCAACCAACTGTGGTATAAGGATTCTTCCACCGATGCTGAGGCTGAGAACACTGGATTTGCAGCCCGCCATGGATACATTATCACCAAGCCCACCAACAAAGGATCGTTTTCGTTTGCCATCCCCCTAAAACATATTTTTGGATTCGCAGATGATTACAACAAAATAGTGTACGGGTTCAGGCACGAACTCTCACTCGTTCGCGATTCAAATGCTAATGCCATTTTGAGAGCAGCTGCCGTCAACGATCCGGCAAAGATCGTCCTGAGTAAACTATCGTGGTTCGTCCCTCACATCACCCCCTCAGACGAAAATAAGATGCAACTGTACAAAACCATCCAAAGTAAATCCAAGATCCACTGTGGATTTCGCATGAGACAGTGTGATTCCATAGCCGTTCCCCAAGCCTCACAGTTTAACTGGCGTCTAGCTGCCAAGAGTGGTCGCGAAAAACCTAGATATATCATTGTTGCCTTCCAAACCAACAAAAGTGGTGACCAAACCCATAATGCTGCCGTGTTCGAACACTGTCGATTGCGAAATATCCATGTCACCCTCAACGCTGAACGTTATCCAGCAGTCGACTATAATGCAGCTTTCAACGAAAATAGGATCGCCAGAGTGTTCAAAGAGACCTCCGACTTCAGAAAGAAATTCCATAACATGGACAGTCTCCTCAGTAATGGTGGTATTAATCTCTCCGATTACATCGACTTGTACCCCTTGTTTGTGATTGATGTGAGTCATCAGTCTGAGCGTCTCAAAGAATCTACGGTGGATATTCAGATCCGAGCCGAATTCGCCCGTAATGTTCCAGCCAACACCGAGGCGTTTGCACTTGTCATTTCCGACAGAATCCTACAGTTTGAATCCGATGGTCAAAAGATGAACGTTGTGTACTAAAAGTAAATGGATAAAATTCACCTACAACTCCTCTTTGCCAGTCGTCCCGCCGAGGTCTACGCAATCGTGGTGAAAGCTGGAAAACAGCTCAAGGAGCAGTATGACGGTATCGAAGAGTGGAAGCAAACATATGTGACAATGGTCTACCATAAATAAATGGATAACACATTGTTGCAGCAAATTGTTGATAATACCGACCCAAAGCATGGGTTTTCCTTCATCGTCTCTGGAAACGATAGTCAAATCCTTACCCGATTCAACCCCCCACTACAACTCAAGGAATCCAAGGCCTACGAGATGGCATTGATAAACCTGGAAACCTATAACTCCATCCCCAACATTCACGCAGGTAACAATTCCTTCCGCTACTCCCCCGACGATGGTGCCAACTGGTTTCCCATCGCACTAAGCATAGGTTCCTATGACATCGAAGACATCAACAATGAGATCCAGCGGCGGCTACGGCTCAACAAACACAAAACGAAGATCATCATCGATGCCAACCGGGCGACCCTAAGAGCAACGCTGACCCTCGCCAGACACTATCAAGTAGACTTCAACGTTGTCAATAGCATCAACGCCGTCTTGGGATTCGAGCGGCAGATTTACACATTCGATATGATCACAAACGGCTATACGGAAGGGGAACATATTGTAAATATCATCAGCATCAACAGCATTCTGGTGAATAGTGATATCATCCATGGAAGTTATGTGAATGGTACACAGCAGTCTACCATCTACAGCTTCTTTCCCGCAGACGGTCCTGGTATGAAGATCATTCAAACCCCAAAGAATCTAGTATACTTGCCGGTGACCTTGCGAACCATCAATCGCATGCAAACGTATCTCACCGATCAAGATGGTAGGCCCATCGATTTCAGGGGTGAACATCTCACCATCCGCTTTCATCTTCGTGAGGTATAAATAAATGACTTATCACGAACATGGTTTGAGTTTGACAAAAGGTCAAGCTGATAAACTACAACGGGCGGCTAAGAAAGGTTGTCCGGTCTCCATTCGTTTGTCCCACGCAAACCTGCAAGGTGAACACAAGATGTGGCTCACCACCCGCCAGGTTCAAAAGATCGCCAAGCTCCTACAAAAGGGTACTGGTGGTATGGTCCTAGAGTTGAGTGCGACCCAATTGAAGGAAAACATGCAGAAGGTGGGTGGCTTCCTACCCATGTTGGCGGGGCTGGCAATGAGGGCACTCCCCATGTTAGCAAAAACTATTCTACCCGCCTTGGGTGTTGGAGCCTTGAGTGGTCTTGGTGGTGTAGCCGTCAACAAGGCCTCAGGGTCTGGATTGTACCTGAAACGTGGTGGATGCGTTTGCACCGTGAAACCTAGTGGCAACGGTCTCTACCTCAAACCTTCAAACGCCCGGATCACCTATGGTGATGGACTCTCCTTGAAGCGTGGTCAGCAATTCCACGACGGAGCTGGTCTGATCTTAGGTGCTAACAGCCCCTTCAAAAATATTCCCCTCCTCGGTATGCTCCTATAAATAAATGGATGATTTAGATTCTGGATACCGACAGACCAGAGTCGAATGTATGGAAGATCAACTCAACGCGGATATACATAAGTATCAACATACCTTGAAGATCTACAAACGTCTGGACAAAGTTGTATCTGTAGCACTGGGTGTTTGTTCTGTGGGCAGTTTGGTGTTAACCAGCTGCACCATGGGTTCAGTTTTGACCGGTATAGGTATTATAGCCTCCCTTCCCATAGGATCCCTTGCGTGCTTGAGTGCCACTGGCGTGATGGTACTCACACTAATCTCAAGGCGTATCATGAAAAAGAAGAAAAAACACCGCGACACCTTGCAATTGGCACAGTCCACAAAATTTTTGGTTGAACAATGTATTAGTACTGCTTTGGATGATGATGAACAAATTGATGATGCTGAGTTTGGGAAAATCACCACCTGCCTCAAAAACTACTACGATGAAAAAGATAAGCTCCGACAACCTTCCACCACTTTTAGTGAGGACCTTAATGCGCATGCGTCGTAAAAAACGTCACACATCATTCCGTTACACTTCACTCCACACATCGTTTCACGATGTGCTCCATTCCGCTTCACTTCATGATGTGCTCCGTTTCAAGCATAAAAAAAACTTTTCCAATCCGGCAGAAATGTCGGATCGGAAAAAAATTTTGTACCCCACCCGGCCCATTATTTTTTTTTTGGACTTAATTTCTCACAAGGTCGTAAGAGAAGTACTCCTGCTTGGTCTTTTTGCTGACTTTAAAGCCTGTACTTCTCACGAAGGCTCCTACCATGGGTCCTGTCTCTCTGTTCAGTCCACTGCAGGCCCACACCCTATTCGTTTCTCCTTCTCTGTTTTTCAAGGTGAGGATCTTACTCTTTCCAAACTTACCATCTACTTCCACCACTTCCAGGATTTTATAGATCACACCGGTTGAGAGTTCCTTCCATTTCAGGGTTTCCAGGCTCTGATCCTTTACCTTTTCCTCGAAAACATTATCGTTCATAAAATCGTTGTCTACGATTTGTGGACTTCTGAGTTCCTCCATCTTTTGTACGAAAGCCATATTTTGTTTCTACCCTAGGATTATATCCTTCTAAGGTGTTTGGGTTTTGTGCTAAACTGAAAGACATTCTTGTTTTTACCCTTAGACTAATTGAAACGTATTGCGTTTGCATTTTATGTTTGGGGTTGGGGTTCCTATGCTGAATCTGTGCTTAAAATGGCAAGTGCCGCAGAATCGGCCTATTGACACTACTTAGACAATGTTTAATTTGTTCTTAATTAACAGCTAGAATATTTTACATCGGAGCTTCAAATCGTACTGATAAAATTGATGGATCGCTTGCGATGAACCGCGAAAAAGTCGCGAAATTGAAAATTGAAAATGCAATATAATACATATGATAAAAAAATCAAGATTTCAAGTAAGTTAAGAATTTCATATCATTGACAATATTATATTAAAGGTAGTGAAGATCATTGTCGCTGCTTTTTCTGTGGAGGAGGATTAAAAAACTGGGAACCAGGTGATGACCCTTGGGTAGAACATGCTCGCTGGTACCAGAACTGTGCTTTTGTGCGACAAAGTAAAGGCGATAGTTTTATAGAAGATGTTCACACAAACAAATATATTCCGGCTGAAATTGTGGAAAAGGTAAATTAAAAAAAAATGATGTTTATACAAACGCTAATATGTAAATTAAGCAACACTTTTAAAGTCTTAATTAATATGTGTACACACCAAGGGTGACTGGGAAACAGCAATATCGTCAATTGCGGTCTTTTTCCAAGCGGCAGTAACACACTTCCAAACAGGAGCGTCCGTTTGGCTGTGCGGGGAGTATTATTAGGCAGCAACGTTCGGTTAGAATGGGGACGTAAAACCCGATGCCTCATGTAGAAAACCGCTCTCTGCACGTTGTGAACCTTCGCAACAACTTTATGAAAGGTCCGTCGTAGGTACAAAATTTCTGTCACTATCCAATATACCCTTATTTTCCAGTGGTAGTCCAAATTACACGTCCTTCATCCCGGACGACCTCTATCACAGGACCTACCTTCAGTATTTATTGTTAACTATTTGTTCTCGTCCTGAACATCCATGAAGCATTTGCCACTGAACGTAAAGAAAACTACAACCAATATTACTACATTGTATGTCTGCAAATCAAAATTACAGGATGAGGTGCGTTTTAGTTGTACGTGTAACTTTATTTAAACCGTAACAGGTTATGCAAAACACAAACAAATAAAACATGCAGTATATTAATTACAACTATACACGGGGTACAAACAGCACGTTAATCAAGTGTAAGCAAGTCAAGTTAATAATTATGTATTGTGATATTTGACCAATGTGGACCTCATTTATTTGTAAAATTACAGAATAAGCTTCCTAGTTCAGAAAGGCCATTGTGTGATTTTAAGAACATTCCTGCAGTTAGATCTGTAACAGAGTTTGGTTATGATGAAAAGTTAGTCAAAGAAGCCTACGAAACTCTTCAAAAAGCGGGAAAATCAGGTATGTATCACTGGTGACGGAAAATTTAGAGAGGACAGTTACACTAACATGGTCATTTCATATTGTTCCGGTTTTGTTATCATCAGAAAATAGATTAAAATGTAGGAATGAAAAATAAAGAAATATTTGTATTTCCTCACTGCAGATTTCTTCTAAATACTACCTATATGTTCATGACGGCACAAACTCGGCTACTAAGCAAGTGATACTTTCTTATTGATTTGCGGTCTTCTAGCAGAGAATGGATTCAGTTGTCATAATAATCAAATCAATACGAACCAGTTTTGTTATCTAATGTCAATGGTTTCTTTAATACTTTTTTTTTTATTTCACATAATCATTAATTTTTTTTTTTAAACAAGATAATCAAATAATCAAAAATACAGTCCTAAATTATCAAATAATCAAATAATCATGAAATATTTAGTCTGATCATCAAATAATTACTATAAAAACAGCCAAGTAATCACATAATCAAAAACCCCATGAGGAGGCTCAAATATCACTGATAAAACGGGGAAAACGCTTATCTCGTACGCATGTTAAAATGGTCAAAGTTTTAGGATGTTGAGCTTTGTATTATAATAAATTATATTAACCGTCATTTAATTATTTTTAACACGTTATTGCAAAACAACTTAAAAATTATAAATATACAAACGATGTGCCTCTTGAAAAAGTATATAAATAACTTCCTTAAGAGTGTCGTCCTATTTAATTTTCAGTTTTTGGTCGTCAACAAAGGGTTAATGTAGACTAAATACATTTCGCCGTTTCAGAATCTAATACATTATGGGTAAAACTTCTAAAACGTACAAAAATTATTGTGATTAATTAAAAACGTGCTATGGCCACTCCAAATTGATTCATAGTTTTTTTCGAAATTGCTCTCTGCAAAATTTTGAAAACTTAAAAAAGAAAATTCCTCCTTATCCTGAAGACGTTCCGATATATCGCTCCAACTAAATAAAATTAACAAAATGGTATCACTCGCCCACAATTAATAGAATTGCATATTTTTTGAAAAAAACAAATTCTCTCCTCAAAACAGAAGTTGTGTAGGATAAAATTTAAGATATCATTTTCTCTCAACAAATGTCAAGTACCGCTTGCTAAAATGTTAATTTAGGAAAAAAGACACAAATACAAATTTCGCTCGCTCGCTCCTAATTTTGTACATAAAAGTCCAATGAACAAGTATTCAATTTTGAGTGGCCTTAACAATGGGATACGAACATTGAAATTATTCGTTATCCTTTTGACTCTGAAACAGATCACTTTTTATATTTTATTTACAAACATCTTTATCGAAAAAAAACAATTGTATTTATTTCATTTTTATCTTTATCGTTTCTATGCATTGTATGTTAATAAGTTTTTGACCAAAAGCTGCATCCGGGTCCTATGGTGGATCTGTGTCACGTATATTTAGATTAAGAGATGTTAATATTAATTTTATAAAGAATAATGAATATAATTACAGTCTCAACTCAAAGTTTTAACGATCTGTTTTGTAGATATCACGAGTACCGGGCTACTTGAAGCCATTTTCAGTTTAGAGGAAAATTCGAAACATACCCAAGAAAATTCAAGTTATAACCAACACCAAATGGAAAACACACATTCAGCAATAGAACCTGCAAAAAGTATAGCAGAGCAAATTACACACGAAACAACGAGCGATCCAGAGCCAGAATGTATGTATTTTCACTACAAATCGTAGTTACTTTTAGTGGACATATTCCTATGTAAACATAAGAAGATGTGGTAGGATTGCAAATAAGACAACTTTCCATCAGAAACCAATTGACGAAAAATGTTAGCAAGTATAGGTCACCGTACGGCCTTCAACAATGAACAAATCCCATACCGCATAGCAAGCCCCGAGATGACAAATGTAATACAATTCAAACGAGAAAACTAACGTCCTGATTTTTATATAAAAAAAAAACGAAAAACAAATATCCATACATGTAAGTATACTGTATGGATAGTTTTGACCCTTTTCAGTCATTGATGATCGCATGTTTACTAGCTCTAGAATTTGGAGTTTTATTATGTGATGTAGGCTTGTTGTATAATTGTTCTTTACACCTCGTCTACTTAAATTCATATAAATGTTATGTATGAAACCTGCAGTAGAACCAATTTAAAAAGTAGGATACAGTTTTACATTTTTATTGTCCATTTATGACCAAATTGACTCGGGAATAACTATGTGGTTTATCATCAAGTTAGGTCTGAGTTCACGTTAGTATACAAGTTAAAGTTCGAGGTATAGGTATTATTCAAGTGAAACTTTTGAATACATATTCGAATTTGAGCAATAATTTTGAACTTATAGACAAGTTCGAGTACGAGTCAGAGCTTGTGTTCGAGTTGAGGTTCAATCTACAGTTTTATATCGAGTTAAACGTTTAATATTACATGATTTGTATACTAGCAACTCTTAACTCGATCATTATTTCAAATTCGACTATTAACTTGAACTCTCGAACATTAAAACACGACTTGTTTTATACTAACTCGGAGTATTTTCGAATATAAATTCTAACTTCACCTCGAACTTTAATTCAAACTTAAACTCGAACTCAAAACTCGAAATAATAACTGAATGCTTAGCCACTTTCAACTAATCAAAAATACAAAAAAAAATGCTTTGTTTCAAATTTAAAGTATGCATTTCGAGGGGATACTTATGAGTTGCTTCAATAAACTGAATACATAATATTTTACATTAAATTTTGTTTTTTTTTAAGTGTCAGTGAGAAGTCTTGAAGAAGAAAATCAAAACCTGAAAGATCAGCAGACTTGTAAAATATGCTTGGATGAACAAATTGCAATAGTTTTTCTTCCTTGTGGTCATTTAGCTGCTTGTGGTAGCTGTGCGCCTGTGCTAAGAAGATGTCCAATATGTAGAGCATTTATCAAAGGAACAGTAAAAGCAATAATGTGCTGATGTCTTTAGTTTGTATAAAATTGATCAAAATTAATAAAACAAATCAGTTTTATATATAAGCAAGATCACGACGAAAACAAAAGATCAGATCTGCGAGTTCTTCGTGACGCTTACAGAAGACATATGATATAAAAAAGATGATGTGGTATGATTGCCAATGAAACCACTCTTCACAAGAGACCAAATGACACAGAAATTAACAACTATAGGTCACCGTACGGCCTTCAACAATGAGCAGAGCCCTTACCGCATAGTCAGCTATACAAGGCCCTGAAATGACACAAACGAGAAAACTAACGGCCTAATTTATGTACAAAAAAATGAACGAAAAACAAATATGTAACACAACAAACGACAACCACTGGATTACTGGCTCCTGACTTTGGACATCCTAACAATCGTCATCATCGTGGATGTCGTAACTATCGTCATTGTTGCTGCCCGTCATCGTTGCTACCATAAGGAACATCGACAATTGCCCTTTATTGATGAGCATTGATATCTTTCTATAAGTATTTCAATCGCAGTGATCAGTTCGTGTGTTGCTATGTAGAGTTACTTTCCAGTGTGAAAAAAGTAAACACACTGAAAACAAATTTAGGAAGCTATATAAAATGATTGATAAACAGAAAGATTTAAATAACTTATAGAGCAGCAGTCGAGGCAAAACGTAATGTCGATAAGGAAATTTTAACTGCGATAAAGAAAACTATAAGTGCGATAAACAAAAATATTACCGATTCTCTACACTTAAAAGCAGAAACTGAAACAATTTCAAGATTTAAGGAAGGATGCTGATACATAAACATTGAATATGTAATCTTAGTAATATACAAAACTTGAAGAAGCGGACATATTTTCCTATCTAGTTCATTTGAATTTTTACCAGTTACGTGTACTAAACAGGACATTAATACATACACATGTATAGGGCTAATACTTCCTATGCAATTTAACAAAATTGAGATTTCAGTTAGTTTTAGTACTCTAGCGAACACGTTTTCTTGTTTTTTTCTTTTTTAAGTGTTTTTAAAAGACAGTCTGACGTAAGTTGAGGAAATAATGAATTTTAACATATCAATTAGATATAAGAAGATGTGGTATGAGTGAAAGTATATTTTGCTTTTTTTGCGAAATAACAATGTCTGAAGTTACAAAACAGGAAATACGACGTAAAAAAAATGGGCTTTAACTTCCTATTAGTTTCATAGTTATTTTGATAATCTATTCAAGAGCTTATCTATAAGATTACGAAGGCGAGGCGATCAACATAACGGCAAACCCAGTTCTTGATACATTTATTAGTTATGTTATCGTTAACGCAATCAAGGAACAGTATATTAAGAGGAAATTGTCAAAATCGTCTTGACATTCATTTTACACGAGGAAGAACATATTTAAATTTGATACTGATAAGATTTATAAAATACTTTTCTTAATTCTCTAAGGGTAGCGTCAGCACAGTTGTCTTAATGCTCTAGAGTCCTCGCTTCGAGTGTGAAAAGTCATCAGATCAGTTCATGACTGGGTTATACCCAGGGTTTTAATGTCAGTATGAAAATTTGAATTGATGCTTCGTTAGCAATCACGCCTTGAAAAAAACAAGCCTGTCGGACAGAAGTCGAAAAAATGTTTCCAGTGTTGATGACGTGGCTATAGTATATTGCGACCTAGAAATTTGAAGCTTGGAATATATTAGTTTTTAAGTGGAAGTCAGTTTGTATCTCAAAGACTTTTGTTGTAAATCCTAAAGATAGGTTATTCTTATTATGTCGGCTGACTTCTGATAGATTTTGTATCTGATAAAAAAATGTATTTTTAATCATATTTTACAATCCAATAAAAAATTAACAATAAAAAGAATAAAAGTGTAATTGAAATTTCAATCCAGCTTTAAATGTTGATAAAATATGTCCAAACACGTTGTAATTTTATTTTAACAGAATCAATGTTCATATACGGTCATACCGTTAGTTTTAACATCAATTGAATGGTGCTGTTTGCTAAAGTCCGGTGGCAAATATGTCATACATACTCACGACGCGTAAATCCCAAAGATAGGTTATTGTCATTATGTCGGCTGAGACAATGCGCGGGAAATTAGTACAACAACAAGAAAAGAGGGGTGTGTTAGATAGAGTAAAGATATAATGATTTTTTTTCAAACGCCCCAGTTTGAGTTTAAATCATGGAAAACTGTTAATTCTAATAAACAACGGGAACAACGAAAACGTTTTCGTACAAAACATATTAATCAATGCAAACTTCTTTTCAAATATTTATTCTGAATTAAAATGTAAACGTCTTATGCTAACTTTAATGATGACACGTTGAAAGTACAGATCACTGAATGAAAAAGAAGGACACCGACACAATTTATCAAAATATATTGTTTAATTATATAAAGTCCAATGTTCTGGTTGAAACACAATTCGTTGAACTTACGAGTTCTATTGGACTTCTAAAAAGTAGATTTTTGTGTACATAATTTATAGTACATATTGCCCTTTACTCCAAAATATAAAGTAAATACAATTTGAAAGTCAACGACTTTTTTCTAAGGAGCGTTTAAACTTCAACTTAAACTATAATGTATGTTTTGAATTTCAGCTGAAATTTATGCAAATAACCTTTGGCCTTCAATTGGTGTCGAGCGCCCTAAAATTAAATGGAAATAATTTAAGATTCAAACATGATGTGATTTGCATTTATTGATGTTGACACCGTGGACAGCACTAAAAACTCAAATATGTGAATCTTCAAGCGTGTTGCCTGTCTCTCAGCGGATATAAGCAAAAATAGATATAATTTATATTAAAACCAAAACATAACTAGGATAAAAAAAAAAAAATACACAGCAGGTGCACAACTTTTTTTTCATGCCCTGTACAAGAAGCTGCAAGCTTTTTTTTATTTTTGTAAAATCCATTCCAAAGAGTAGTGCCTATACAGTAAGATATAAGAAAATGGCACTGTATTTTTTTTGGTATGGTAAATTCCAAAAATCAATTCAAAAATTTTAAAAGCAGGAAAAATATTTGTCTTGGAAAAGAATCTGTGCACCATGAAAATAAGAAGATGTAATATGATTACCAATGAGACAACTATCCACCAGAGACCGAAGGACATGGATCGATGTAAGCACTAAAGGTACGGCCTTCAACAATGAGCAAACCCATATCGCATACACTATCAATGGATCTTGCATTAAAAAATGTGAAATTTCAAACAAGAAAACCCCTGTCCTGATTTATATGCTGTAACCATAAACGAAAAGCAAATATGACATACAGCAACCACTGGTTTATAGGCTTCCGACATTGGACAGGTACATACGAATATGGAGGACTCAGGTGGAATATGTTTGTGAGAGCTCTTACCTTGGACAGGGCTGTAACAACATCAGTTAGAAATGATTTGACACACTAAATCGTCACAAATTATGGTTTAATTTAATAATGATTTTCAAAGTTTGAGATTGACAAATGTGACGGGGGTGACAACAGTATAAAGATACATAAAAAAGCATAATTGCTACGAGTCTAGTCTGGAATTTTCGAAAGTTAAATGAGTTTCTATTTAATCTTTAAAAGGTAGTCAATATATACTTTGTAAGCAAGAGATGTCATAATTGTAGACATTAGCAATTGACGTACTTATTTGGTTTTCGTTTATGCTAGTTCCATGTAAGTTACAAGGTTATAGTTTTATCACAATTGTAGAGGAAATAAATATTACGCAAGTCCTCACTAAAAGGAAAAAAAGACCATACATAATTAATTCAAGCACACTGAATGATAGTATTTCGGTGCACATTCTATGTCTATCAAATGGTGAACAAATCAGGAATATTATGCGGTATATTGATAATTTATACTGAAAATGGAGGACTTCGGGTGTCTATATATATGGAAATTTTCATTCGTATACGTCATTATATTGCTCACAATGACGTAAACCTCACATCTCCTTTAGTTCATTACCGTCTCCGCGGAGACGGTCTTAAGAGTTGAACGATACACAGTCTGCGGGCTGAATGCTTCTTACTATCTAATTGGAAGGTAATTACTGACTCTATAATAGTGAAGTTCGTTGATTGGTTGGGACAATCATAACCTAGTCAATGTCTGTTAATCCCATAGACTGTCGGATTTGAACTCTTTATTTTAGCAATTAGATTTTGCCTGTTTACCAATCATGCATATCGGTACACAGGTAACACTTATCTATAAATGGCCGAAACTCCTAAAATTTTGTAAACACACACGTGATCATTTCACATGCAATCCAGTCGCTTTACAGTTTATACACGAAAACATAGGATAACACCGCGCATGTTTTTTTCTTTGGTTATAGATAATCAAAAGGCAGCAAAAATATTGAAAACGGAGATATCCAAAACATTTACCGGTATTTTCAATTAATATTAGTTTACAATGGAATCTTTATCTCAGGGGGCGGCGGCACTTCGACCTTTTTATGGTAGGGATGACTAGCTGAGACATCCAATACCCCACCCTTTTCATATATTTTGAATAACAAAAGAATCATACTTTTTTACAATAATTATACCTACATATGTAGCTATCATTGTTACGCTTTTCATGGGAAGATAAATTGAGTTGACAAATGTCTTAAGCATTAACGACAGTAATTTTAATTGCATCTGTAAAAAAATATCGACATCTCATTAGTTTCAGATTCACAATCATCAACCTTCTTATATATTTCACCTAAATTTCTCTACCAGCGGCTCATCTGCTTCCACTCATTATAATAAGTGCCCCCTCCACATACCCCTCTCCCTAGCTCTTCCTATCAAGATAGCAGACGTTGAAGAACAGGAGACAAAAAAAAAGCTACAAAGGGGAATATAAAAAGAATAAAAAAAACTACACACAGACGAGTAAAGCAATTATACATGTATGCTAGCATATTTTAAGCAATGTTTAATATTTATGCATGATTCAAAAAGAGATGTGAAGTACACGTGTATTTAGAAAGCAACCCAATTAAACAAAAAACAAACAATATACTTCTAAAGTTCAACATACGGTCT